TCCCTTGGAGCAGGGAGCCCGATGCGGGACTCGATCCCAGGACCCTGGGATCATGACCTGAGCCGAAGGCAGACGCTTAACCATCTGAGCCACCCAGGCACCCCGATAACAAGTATTTAAAGATCCTGCTTTGTTTGCCCTGTTCAGTGAGCAATTCAGCATGCTTCAGAGTAGTCTGAAAAATCTGTCCCCAATTTGAAAAGTCTATCCTAAGAAATTACATCAGTAAAGCGAAAACTTTTCTTCAACAACGGATTTTTTAAAATAAACACAGCAGGCAGCAGCCTCCTCCAGACAATAAAGCCACTACCGCCGACTTCAGCTACACAGCAGCGAGAGCTACAGGCCCTGCGTCCAGCGCAGTGAGCCAGGGCTCCTGGGTGCGCGAGGAGGCCGTGTAGCTTCACAGTGTGCCATCCTGAAAGGAGCGCAGCATTCATAAAGAGAAACTTTCTCCCAAGGAAATGAATTAAACCGGGGGGAAACCCACAACGAAATGATTTAAATCAATCACAGACCTGTTTGCAATGATCAACTCCTCACCACCCCTCACCTCACGTATTCCACAGTGGGGTCTCACTAGACAGGGAATTTGGAATAGATTACACACACACACACACACACACACACACACACACACGCACGGTTTATTTTCCAGTCACTTCCACAGGCCTCTACTCCTGACCAGCCATAGATAACAAACTAAGCATATTCACACTTTACACTGCCCAAGTGTTAATCTGTCAGTGAAAGATTTACTTCTTTTTTTACTTATCTTCCCCGCAGAGGGAGAGAGAATCCCAGGCAGGCTCCACACCCAGCACAAAGCCCAATGCAGGGCTCGATCTCACGACCCTGAGATCATGACCTGAGCCAAAATCAAGATTCAGATGCTTAACCAACTGAGCCACCCAGGCGCCCCTGAAAGATTTACTTCTATGACAACTAGGAGCCTCCAAATATCATAAAACTCTGGATTACAAAAGAAAGCATTTGTAAACTGCGTAAGCTGGAAGTCAAGTTTATATTACACAGAAAGTTATACAGTATAAAATTAAGAAGTTTGTTTGATTTTCTCCAACTTCAATCCTGAAAAGCTGAGTTCAAAGTAACACTTTAATGTCACTGTTACTGTAACTGCTTTACAAAGTGACCTTTAATTAACAGTGGTTCCTACCCTTTTAGCTTTGTACTTCTGCAAACCCCTGCACTCTCCGCCTTTTCTCAAGGCTCTTGCTCCATAGAAAATACTTAATTCCTTAATTCACAAAGACCAGAGCCTTTGAAAGAAGTAAGACAAATTATTCTACTACCACACTACGAATTTCTCCCTAATTTAGGTGTTCTTAAAAATAATTTTGATATCTTGATTTTGCAATTAAAATTAAAAGGGTGGGAGGACAGATTACATAAATGGTTTCTAACATTTCTGAAAGTCTTTAACGTGTACCATTCTTGCCGTATTTCGGTTCCATCTGACTATGTAGTCGCTCATCGAGTGACTTCTACCCTATATGCCAGATACAGAGCTGAGCAGGAAGCCCGAGACGCCTGGAAAACCCACAGGTGGTGAAGGGTGACTGGTTACACCTGTATCTCCCGTGTGACCAGTAAACTCACAAAAGTTAGCACACAATTTAAAGTTTTTAAGCTGTCAGCAAAAGCATAATCAATCTAAAGAGCTTGGTTTTATAATGTGATATCCTAAAGCTAGGAGCTGGGAAACATGAATTCTAATCCTGCTTCTGTTAATGTGATGAAGGACCTTGAGCCTGGAACTCACTTAGAACTCACTCAGGGTGCTCATTTCTGAGACTGAAGGGGTTGACCAGATGGAATTTGAATGGACTTGAAGCTCAGAGCAGTAAAATTTAAGTTTCTGATTTAGAATGAAGAGTGACACCAAGCGGAGCAAAGTCAGAAATACAGGCTAGTTCATTTTTTTTAAAGCTTAGTAGCTACTGAACAATGTACTGTTTCTATTAAAATTTAATAGCTATTTACAGTATAGAGTATTAGAACAGAGAGAGGTCTTAAATAACCGAACCAACTTTTTTATTTTCAGAGTCCAGAAGAGTCTTATTAGGTCCACCAGCTTAATCTCGCAAAACCTGCACTGGTAAATTGGTAACTCCAGCTTTTATGACTTTGCCATAGATTTACAGATAATTTTAAGAGAAATGACATCTTTATAATAGAAAATTTCCAACCAAGGCTATGGTATGCCTTTTATGGCAGTTCTCCTTTTTAAATCCAAATATTTAAAATTTATATCTAATTTGTTTTTGTCAGAAACCTGTATTGTATGGTTTTTGCTGCTGGCAGAAAGGTCTTACCTTCATGTCAATATTGTAAAATTATTCTCAATTTTCTCAAAATCTTTATGGGTTTTTTTTAATATTTAACTTTGTAATCCATTTGAAATTGATTTTTCTATGAGCTTTGAGGGAGAGACTTTATTTTTAGTCAGTTATCTCATTCATTTCCCCGATTTGAAATGCCATGTTTTTATATAGTGCATTCTTATATATACATGGACTTATTTCTGACAGATCTAGTCTGTTCCATTAATCTGTCATTTATCTTGGTTTTTGTACTACACTCCGAATTATTTTTTATTTACAACCCAGTTTAGTACCTGGTAGACTGTCTCCAACCCTCTTCCTTATCACCTTTTCTCGGCATTGTCCTGACCACCTTTACGTGTTTTTTCTAAACTTTACAATCATTTTGTTAAGTGTCCCCCAAAACAGTCTCATTGGGGCTTTGATCAAAATTGTGTTATACTTTAATTTGGTGAGAACGGATAGTTTTACAGACTTCCAGAAAAGCAGTATTTATATTAGTAAATCTTCCAAAGTGTTTTCATGTTCTCTTTTATTCCTAGATATATTTCGTTAGCTACCATAAAGGCAAGTCTCCTACATCATCATCTATGCAACTAAAAAAACGCTGAAAAGAATCACCTCCCTCTATCTTCCTATCAGTACATTTGTGGTCAAAGTTATCAATCTCCTTCACTGTCCCTGACTGCACATTTCCATCTTAATCGTAAGACTATCATGAGGTGACTTGTCAAACGCCTTGCTGAAGTCTCGATCTGCTGTTCCCTCCATATTTCCCTTACCTCCTACTCCAGCAACTCTGTCATAGGAAGAAAGTGGATTAACCTCACCAAATACAACTTGATACTAATGAATCCATCCCAGGCCTAGTGATAATCATCCACTTTCCCAGGTACTTACAAATCACCCACACATATTTTTTTTTAAGATTTTACTTATTCGAGTGAGAGAGAGACAGAGACAGAGCGCGCGTGTGCGTAGGCGCAAGCAAATTGGGGAAGGGGCAACGGGAGAGGGAGAGAGAGAATCTCAGTCAGGCTTCACGCTGACCGCAGAGCCTGACATGGGGCTTGATCTCATGACCTGAGCCAAAATCAAGAATCGGACACTCAACCAACGGAGCCACCCAGGCGCCCCATCCTCACATATTTTTAAACTCTTACTTGTAATGGACAAGCATACAACAGTATTTCCAGAATCAAATGCTGCCAATTTAAGAGAAAGAGTAGGCGGGGGGTACTTTAGAGAGAAAATGGTTCTAACATATTCAAATCACCCTGATGATTCTAGTTCGTGTCCTGGAATGTATACGCTGACAGAACAAGCTCACTGATGGCCTCACTAAGTTGAGAAAGGCATTACCTTCGCACCGCAGTCCGCTCCTTTCTGAATGCAAAATCCAATGAACCGTGGGTCTGCCACTTTTACTAGGATGTTGTCAACACAATAGACATGAATGCTCCAAATGCCTCTCTGCTCCATGTCCTCCACAATATTCTGGGCTGCAAGAGCCCGATAAAGACCACCATTCCCATCTGGGAAATAAAACAGCCCATTAGTAGTACACCAAACCCATTACGAAGGTAATCAAAACTGGTTTACCGGGGTTAATGTTTCCAAAGGGGCGAAGATCTCTGAAAAGCAGTTCTACATCACAGGGCCAAGAAAAATAAATACCCATAAGGAAGAACTCAGGTGTCAAAAAATAATACTACGTGACTTTGAAAGTAATTTAACATAAGTATCGAGAAAATAACATTATTAATGTAGGACCAGGAAACCCAAAGACCATGTTTTTCTTTTTAACTCAGACTTTTTAACAATTTAGCCTGTAATAGATTGTGAAATATAAAGTTCTTTCTCAAGCAATGATTATTTCATAACATTTCAAGTTTTATTAATATTTTTATTATTCAAGTTACCTCTGTGTTTATAGCCCCAACAGGGACAATGTCACCCTTCTCAAAAATAAAAATACACAAGTTTTTTATACCAAATAACTTGTTAGGAAACCAGATTAATATGAAGATCAGATTTAAAATAAGTATAGGTAAAAGCCTCTTCTTTTCCCATCTGTTTTCAGTGCTGCTTTAATGTACTTTGTCCAACACCCTCAGCCACAGCTTAAAAAATTGGACTTCACAAATAGAGCTAAAAATAGTAGTCTTCCACTAATGAAAAAGAATTAAGTAGAAAAAAAGACTTAAGATGAAATAAAAGCCTGTATCTGGAGGCTACCACTGTTAACACTCTTATTTATTTCCTGTCAGCCTTTCCTCCAAATACTCACGTAGATACGAATCTGTCGACACATTTATTTTTACACCTGGGATCACACGCAGGGTGGCTGCACGCGGTCACACAGTGTGCACACACCACCCGCAACCATACAGGGCAGTGGCCCTCACCATACCGGGCACGCAGCTTCACGCTTCCCAGTCGCTCACTTAGCTACTGACACTACTTCTCTTTGTCATTTAGTATCTCCAATCAATTACAGTTTTATTACAGCTTGAGAACACTACAGATAAACTATAATTTAACCTCTTGTTTATTAAATAGCAAATGGTTTCCAATCTTTCACTGCAAGAAGTAATGTAGCCATGAACACTGCTGATATAAAATACCGGGTAAAGAGAATGAATACTCAGTGTGCCGCTCAGGTTGTTCTCAAGGGCAGACATCCACAAAAAATATAAAAGTGTATCCATTTCACCCATGGGCATTTTCCTTTTTTTAAATCCTTGCCAAACTGCAATAAAATCTTAAATATTAATTTTTTAACATCCAAATCACCATATTAGAAAAAAAATGAAAATGTAATGATTTATGTTACTCCCATTTCTAGTCACCCTTAAATAAGCATGGTTACAAACCTGGAGCCATAGAAACCTTGTTCTTCTCTTCCAAAATAATTTTCCCATCAAAACTCATAGCAGGCAGCATTCCCTGCTGAAAAAAGATTACATTCTCCTTTTTTAAACCAAAGTACTTGTGCTTTGTGAAGAATTCCTTTGTAGATTCCATTGTTCTGCCACTGGTCATTATATACCTTGCAAGAGAAAAGCAGATCTTCTAAGCAACAGTGCTCTGGGAATTAGGGCAAAATTCAATCTTGTCTATTTTCTAAGCAAAAAAAAAATCGAGCACACTGCCTCTTTGTTCTGACTTCCTTCATGCTCTTCCTGGATAAGGTAGCATTAGCTGCTATCCAAGTGCCTTTCTTCCAGTAACTTCATCAGTCCTACATATAAAATAAATCTATGTAACAACATTAAACATACCTCCTGCAACAGAAAGCCTATAACTGGCTTAAACAAACATTTTAGAACTCTGTGAAAACTGTATTCTAAATTTAGAACTCCCATTATAAATAAATAGGGAGAAAAGGGTAAATGAATATATTCTAATGAATATATTATATCATATATATATCTTATGGTTCTTTTTACTCAAGTTTTGAAATGTAATCTGGGCTCTGCTCACCCTCCATTTAAAATCTTAAAAGTGTAATTATATTATCTGTTCTCACAAAAATCCAAACCATGCTAGTGTGGCAAAGGAGTCAAAAACTCTATTTAAAAGCACAATTAGTGACTGCAGTAGTTTTTGTCCTTACTAGAATTTATGCCACATATAAGTAGGGATTTTTGTCCATTTTGGTTGCTGATATATCCCCAGTACCTAGAAGCAGGCATTCAATATATGTTGAATGAATAAAGAAAGAAAAGGGTATAATTTCCCACCATACTAGGTATCTGTTTAACAAGTTATCCCGGGTATTTTGAACTTTGAGTACAAAGAGGTGGCTAGACTGCTCTGCATAACTAGAGCACAGAGATTCTAAGTTGTGAGGAAAAGAGAAGAAAATTCAACGTGATAGTGGGAGCCAGGGCTGTAAGGAGAATACTGGCTGCTTCGAACACAGATGTCCCTCAAACATCCCCAAAGGAATCAAGATGAAAAAAAATAGTTTCTTGCCCGCCAATACCCATGTTGAGAAGAACTAGCGAAGCTGGGAAATTTACAAAAAGCCTATTTTTAAAGGCATCAGAGAGCTATAGAAGCAACATGGATTGGAACTAAAATTCAAGACAGTGGGAATCTTTCAAAGAGGAGCTAAGGATTTACAGCTGCCTTTTCCTGGGGGTATCTGCTGATGTGGGACCTAGGTTAGTGGTAGGGACTCTGGGCTTGGACCAGGCAGAAGGACAGAGAAACCAGCAGAGCTTTTGTGGGTCACGTGGGGCTAAAATAACAAGATTAGGGACTTGAGGGATCTCAAACACAGCTGGTTTCCCCCTCAAACCATAATTTCCAAAGCTGCTCTGGGAAAGAGATTTAAGAGCTATATCAAAAACTTTTAAAACACAAAGCAGAATTTCCCATAATCTCTTGGTGCTCGGGACACCAAACTTGCCAAGGTAGGCCGGCCCCAAGAACACAGCACTCTACTAGAGCCTGGGATTGGAGTGTGGCCCACAGCAGAGAAATCAGTGGGGCTTTCAGCTGGTGTATATGGGAAGGGTGGGGTACGGGGAGAGCTATATAACCTGGTACTTAAGGATACGAGTTTCTAGACTGTGAGAACTCCCTGAGTGAGAACAGTGACTAAAAATAGACTCCTATCACCTTGTCATGAAATTTCAGATGCCAATGGTAAGAAGAGACCTTAGATGCTTTTGGGGGTCGGTGGGGAGAAGGGAGGGAGAGAGAGAAAGGGAAAGAGGGAGAGAGAGACTGGGAATCAGAACAGCAACGGACCGCTCAACAATGCTAGAAACAACAGAACGATGCCTTCAAATTTCAGACAGAAACGGACTTTCAATCGGAATTTATACACAGACAAACTACCAATCAATATAAAGTTTCTACACTGAGAAAACCCAATGAGTCCCCAAAAGTACTCAGGTAGGGATGTAAAAGCCTGAGGTGAATATATATTGTGCATTAAGACTATCATGATCATTTATCTAGCTATAATACAGATTACTTTTAACATCTATAGTAAAATGCAGCTCCTGGGGAAATCATTAGTAACAGGAAATATGTCTGCTTATGAATAAAGTGTACATGCATTTTGAATATTATAGACTGAAATATGTTTAGACACTCTCCCACAATGAGGCATATCTTACCATGGAATGATGCATTTGTTGCCATGATATTTTTCAGCTAACTGTTGAAGCTTCAGGATACGCTCTGCCTGAATCTGAAAAAGCGTCTTATGAGATGGCAAACCAACATCATACATTCCCTTGGGATATGCAACACCAAGTCTCGTCCCCTGCCCGCCAGCTAGAAGAAGAACTGCCACTTTGTTCTGAGCAATCTGGAAAAGTCCTAGAAAAGAGAATACCTGTATCACAAAACCTCTGCAATTCAACATTTTAGGATTACACATACAAAAAGTAGCAGCAATGAGTCACCCCATCTGCATAAGGCATGAAGAACAAGAAATCCACATGTAATCACAGATAACTACCTTGTTAATAAAAACATTTTTACTATTAAAAAATTAAATTTATATAAACCCAACCAAACACCAAGCCGTGAATAATATGCTTTAATGAATTAATAATTCTTTTTCTGAAAATGTCAGAAGGCAAAGCCCAACAAGATGTTACAAACGTTTTGCAAGTACCTGACTACTTTACTAGATGCGGCGCGTCAAGAGAAAGGATGAAAGAAGGCACCTGGGCTTGAGGATAAACGATGATATGCTACTACATTACCTCTGGCCTGTAAATCCATCAGTGACACACAGTCAACGAGCATGCAAACAGACTAGACAAGCTACCATCCAGTGAATGAAGAGAGTGAAACCCTCAGGAAAGCAATGCAGTACAGAGGTCGAGAAGCCAGGCTCTGATGTCGGGACACCTGGGTGTGAAAGCCAACTCAGCTGAAAAGGCTTCGGGGATCTGCCCGCAAAAGGGCAGGGCATGAGGGGGCTTTGTGGGGTGATGGAAATGCTCTATTGGGGTGGTAGTTACATGAATGTATAAATATGGCAAAAAGTCATAAAACTAGTGCATTTTCTTATATGTAATTACATGTCAATAGAATGGATTAAAATGCAGGGGTTTTGGGGGGGGGGGTTGTTTTTTTTGCCAAAGGGCCATCCATCCCAGCTCACAAGGATGTGAAACTGAGTCTTTTTGTTGATGATTTATTTCCATTGCTGGGAAGCCCATCTTCATCAGTTGAATACTCAGTAATAATAACCAAACATAATGCTTGAATCAAAATATTTATTCTCTCAATCAAAATAATTCAAGATGGAGTTAAGATCCAAATGCAAACAAGTGAAACTGTAAATATTATTAACAACAGAGGCTCTCAGTTTGGATTTAAAAAAAAAAACACACAAACAATTTTTGCCATAGACCGTTTCTGAGAGCCACCTCATCATGCAACGCTGGACCAGCTCAGCATCACAAGGCAGAGTAGCTTGTGGGGAGAGGCAACATGGAAATTGGGTCTCTGGGAAGCCAGAAAAGCTGGAAAATGCCAGATGAATCAGGCAATGGTTGACAGGATTGTTCTTGTTTTCTGAAATCCTCAGACACTCTGGGAAGGAACCTGGCCGCCGTCCAGAACTGAACGCTAGCCCAGAGGGAGCAGTGGTGGCCAATATCCATTGTTATTATTTTTTACATCCTGAGGTAATGGGGGTTTGTCTAATTTACCCACTTTGTGCCTTATGTTTTGATGGGCTGGGCTCTCCTAAAGCTAATGTACTAGTACATCAAGCACTTAAAAGAAATACTCTAAACCCACTTTAAACTCACAACCTTCTCCAGTCCTAAGTCTACAATCTATCTTCAGGAGTCAGTAAGTGCAGCCCAAGGACATGATCCAGCAACCATCCAGCTATCAAAAAATTTAAAAGCACATTAGATATTTCCATAATTTTCACCTTTGATATGAAGCGAAGCTTAGCTAGCTCCCTGAGATGTAATTTTCTCTTTCTTCCTGCCTAGAACCGGAACTGTCTCTGTGATTTTCACCATAGCATTTCACTGTGCCTTATCAGAGTGTGAAAACAGACCCCCAAACTAGTAACTCTAAGAGGTAGGTATAATTTCTCCCATTTGAGAGATAATGGGCTCAGAGACGTTGCAGGTCCTGCCCAAGGTCCCAGCGCTAGTGAATGGGAACGAGGGTGGGAAACTCACTCCAGGGCCCCGCGCCATGCACTGTGCTGCCTGCCTCTCTTCACACCCGAACACTGGCCAGATCCATTACAGCACCGGAGGTTTCAGCAGTATAAACTTTCCTTCCTTTTCTTTCCTGCCCTTTCTTCTCTTTTCCACTGAATTCGGGAGAGGTTGTGCTAGCTTTTTTTTTTTTAATCTTTCCTATCTACCACCCTACAAGGAAAAGCTGGGTACAGTCCACATTCTCCAAAACTTGCCAAACACTGAAATTTCTAACAGCATTCCGGATCTGCATCCCCCTTCAGCAAGCACCATAACCACCATGTAACAAAGTGAGACGAAATGAAGCATTTTGAAGGGAGCAGGGAACGATAGAAGGCAGTTTTGAAAACTGTTTTACATTTGGTTATTCCCTGAGTTATCACAGAAACTACGGTCTCTAGGGAATGAGTTTAATTCTGCTGTCATCGACCCAAAAAGCATTACTTTAATAAAATACAGGTCCATAATCCCTTACCTAACCCCACGGATCAGAGTTGTTTCAGAAGGCAGAACTCTTCAAAATTTAGAAAACGAATATAGTACACATACGTTATACATTATCTCCAGCAAATCTGAGACAGTACCCTGTAATACCATTAAGTGGGATAAAGTTCACCAACAGTCTTGTGTCTGTCCAAGGTCAGTTTTCCTGAAAAATGGGCTTTGCACTGCTTCAAAACTGCAGATAAATAAGTCTGGTGTCTGAACCCTCACATACCAGAGGTGTAAGAATCACAAATATTTCTAAACGTCTTCAAAAAAAGTCCCAGATAAATATTCTGGACACAGAGGCCTTTGTTTTCTTTGTACTATTTATTTTCTTCATCAAGCACATGTGTTTTAAGTTTTTCATTGTTGTTGGTTTTTTTTAAAGATCTTTTTGAGAGAGAGAGAGAAGAGAGAGCACAAGCAGGGGGAGCTGCAGGCAGAGGGAGATGCAGGCTTCCTGCTGAGCAGAGAGCCCAAAGTGGGACTCGATTCCAGGACCCTGAGATCATGACCTGAGCCAAAGGCAGATGCTTAACCGAACAAGCCACCCAGGCGCCCCAAGTTGTTTCATTGTTAACGTGGCTCTAGTCATCCTTTCTGACATCCTTCTTTTACCTTCAGTCCAAAAGTCAGTGATTTCCCATAGCCACCTTACCCGGAAAAGGGAAGAGCCTGCTCCCAGGGCCAGCTCTGTGTCCCAGCTCCAGGTCACCTGATGGCCACCCAGCACCAACCAGTGCTTTCCACAGGTTCTAACCAGTTATCACAATACCACTGTACAAACTTTTCTCTTCCTTGGATCAGTTCCTCAACCACAGCTTCATTCCAGTTTTCTGAATTTTTCAGTTTTTACAGCTCTCTAACCAGCAGCTCATGGTGGCCTCATCCTGTATGCAAATAAATGTTTCCTAAGCCCCTATCTGCCATACTTTCTTCAATCTTTTTCCCATCTATGGACCAGATGACCCATGCAATCACTACGTCTTACGAGAAGCACGGAGATTACACCTACCAGGTGTCCAATTCCAGGCAGATCTACATTTACACCTCATCTCCCTCTAATCACAACTATCACAATCCACGTGTATTTACAATAAAAAGGTTTCTGCATTGACCTCTTCCTGCTTACGCATCTCACTTATGCACACACAGAGAAAAACATGAGGAAAGAAAGCAGTCCCTAGAGTATCAAGGCCAGCTGAATTTCAAGAATTCAATGCAGCTACAGATGTTAACAATATCAGATTGTGCGTTCACTGGCTGAAGCACTCATCCACCTCATCTGTGTCACTGCAATAAAACTGAATGTTTAAAAAGTGTGTAACACATAAATTAGTATCTGTCTTATAATGACAGATAAAATATTGCTTGAAATTAAGGGGGCCAATAAAATTCGGTAAACTGTTTAGTTATATGGCAAGAATACCTGATTTTAAACTGTATTTGTCGTAACAAATTTTATATGGGCAGCACCGCACCTATCTGAAAAATGTTAACTAATTATAAATGTACTTAACCTGCGTGACAATTAAGAAATTATGAGCTTCTCCTATCCCAAAACTTCTTCTGCAGAAATACAGGGGAAAAAAAAACCAAACCAGGGAAGTACGGCACTTTTATCATCCTTTCCATCCTTCCGCCGGAGGGCAGCTCATAGCTTTCCTACAGAGCGGGCCGAAGAGAGACCAAAGCAGAGGTTTAAGATAAATCAAGCCAGAGTGAGCAGTTTCCAGGGCTGGAGCACATCTCTCTCCTTGGAGAGTCCCGTGTCATACGCCCAACAGCGTCTGATCGTATTTACAAGAAACAAAGACAAGAGTTTACAGTGGCCTGAAATAGGTCAAACGCTTCCTGGATAACTTCCTGCTTGGACTAGTGCCTCTCACACTCTGACCTGGGCGTGTGCCTGAAATGAGGAGGATGACACAGGTGTGTGTGAAGTCCAGCACAGCCAGAACTTTCCATGTAAACTGCCAGCACTCCCAGGACACTGAGTCAGGTAAACCGGCTATTAAACTAGTGGAGATAAAGGAAGACTAGCCAAGAAAATTAGTCAGAAAAGACATTTTAAGTCTTTAACTTTTAACCGTACTGTACAGGTGAAACTATTATTTTACAGATTAACTATTTCCCAAAAATGTCAAGTACAAAAAGCATACTATAAGGGAAATCACTACTTAAACCAGTTTTAGGTACTGGAGGATTATTGTAAATTTCATGAGGTATAATAATAGCATTGTGAGTAGTAAGAAAATATCCATATATGTAGAGATAAATACTGAACTCAGTAAGGGTAAAAATAACATCACGTTTGAGATCTGTCTTAAAGTACTACAGTAAAACAAAAGAAGAGGGATAAGTGAAGCAAAAGTAGCAAAATTTTGATATTTAACAAGGTGATACATATGTGGGATTCATTATACTGTTTTTATCTCTAAATATTTGTTTCAAAATATGCTTGAAATTTTTCGTAACAAATTTGTAAGTAGGCTACAAAATTATGCACAAGCCATAATCCCAGTGTGTGAATCTAAGAAAATACTAGAAAATATTACTAGTGAGTATTTACCTCTGAAACGTGGGATGGCAGAGATTTTTATTTTTTCCTTTGTAGTTTTTAGTTATTTTTCCAATTTTTCTAAAATAAGTATGTGTTACTTTTAAAATAAAACAAATCTATTAAAAATATCACTGTACTAGATTCCACAAA